GTTATTCCACGCATCAGGCTCCGATGGTTCGGCCATGTGTTCCGCATGCCAGCCCACCGACTCCCGCGACGTGCGTTGTTTGCTTGCCGGAGGTGCGGATGAAAGAAATGGGTGTGGCCAAATGCTGACTTAGTCAAGAAGAATGAAGGCCCTTGCTTCGAAGCTGGCCTCAGTTGGAGCTTCTCGGCTCCCTGGTTGGGGACCGAAGGGGGGTGATCACATTTAGCTGGATACACTTGCAGATATGGCTAAGAGCCGACCTCAGTCGCGTTTGTGTTGGGAGCTTTTTGTCTTTCACCCTCCAACCACGATCTCATTTGTTAGGCAAAATATAACTTTTTTGCGGCACAATAACCGGCTGTAGGCTCTCCGGAACGATGTCCATCCGTTACTAGTGACTAAGCCCAGGTTTCGCCATCGTATGGAAGAACGGACAGTACCATAGTTGTATACCCTCAGCTTCGTCCCGATATTGACCTGATTGTTGTTCTACACTCGTTTGTCCAACTTGCCAAATGCGATAGCCGCCTTCGATACGCACATGCACAGTTCGCTCGTCATCTCTAGGTCAGTAGACATCACGCGGAGTGGTTTCCAGCACTTCGTCGGCAACGTGGATTTGGAGCAGGCCCACAGATTTCATTCCAGATGACGGCTTTAAAAGACAAACAGTTTTGCTTGTGTTGTTGTTGACCCCACATTTGGCCGCTGTCGTAGCCAGCGCCATAGTCATGTGTTGCAACTCATTCGCGCTGTGCGCAAACAACGCACAATCGTCGGTGAACAGCAACATACGGATAGTTATCTTAGAGACTAGGGTTCTTACTCGGAAACAACAGAGGTTCAGCTACCCACTATCAATACGGTGCTCCACACGAACATTGTAAGCACGCCGCATCAACCGCACATCATTGCATGATTGTAAATATTAAACAGGGCAGTGGCCAAGACATAGTCTTGCTTCACACCGGAAAACTGTAAATTCATTCGAGATCTGTCCACTCAGCTGCACCCTCGCCCGCATACCACTATGTAGACATACAAATAAATTGACGCGGGTAGACAAACTTACCCAACACTAGCCACAATGTTTCGCGGTTCACCGTATCAAATGTCTTAGTGAAGTCAACAAATAGTGAGTAGAATTGCTGCTGTCGCTCTCTGCATTTCTCCATATATCTATAGTGCTGCGGTTCTGACGGAATCCGCATTGTTCTTCCGCCGCGTGCGGTTCCACGACCTGTGATGAGGCGATTGAGGTGGATTCATGCGATCACCTTCCTCGAACAACTCAGCAAATTGATACCACGCTAATTCGTGGCACATTGCTTGCTTCCTTTGCCCTTGTACAGTGGTAGCACAGGATCCTCTTTCAACTTGGATGACACACGTATTTCAAACCACACTGTTTGCTCCATGTTCTGCATCGCATACATCAAAGCGGGTCCGCCGATTTTCAATCGGGATTCCGTCGGCTCCGGCGTACTTGCCGTTACGCAGCTGACCAGTTGTTGTCTGTGTTTCATCCAGTGTCGTTGGGTCGGCAAGAGACATCTTCATCTCCTGTTGATGCAGCCCAATCAATCTTTAAACGGTTGTTCAAGAGACAATCAGTGTTTTCGCCAGATCTGCATTATGTCTGCAGTATGGGTGCAAGCAGCGCTTGAAGTAGCATCGAGCAGCGTTCTCAGCGGCTGCAATGTGGGTCCATACCCCGCCTTCAAGGAATCAAAGAATTCCTCGCTTTGGCGGCATTCGTTTTGGGGTTCCATCTGCTTCGCCTTCTCCATCCATCATGCATTCTTGATGCTAGGGAACTCTCAAGTCAATCGCAGTCGAAGTTTTCTCAAATAACTCTTCTCCTCTGCATCGGCAGGGTCATCCACATGCGCAACGAACGCTGTATTCTTCTCCGACACCAATGCTCCAGTGGTCGCACTGTTATCATAAAACCAATCTGGCCGCACCCGATCGTTTCCACGGCAGCAGCCGTCACCTGTTTACGATAGTAACTAAGGAACGAGCATTATATTTGTGCCAGTTCGCGGCAAGGGAGAAATACATGGATTTGTGAAAAGATTTTTGCACTGTCGCGCTGCTTCGCCTGTGAGACTGCAACCGTCTGTCTGCTCAACCACGCGCCCAACAAGCCGAAGAAACCAAGAACCCAAGGTTCGGTAGACAGGGTATATTCTACAGAATAAATCGTCTTTATTTATTCATGAACCATACATACTAATTTGAGAAAGCATGGTTACCCAATCTTCTGTAAACGAGTTTCGTTCCACGGATTTGCCATTTTTTGGCAGAATCGTCCACTTCCATGTTCGACTCCGCTCGAGATCTGGACGCCGGCTTGAATTCGCTGGAAAATCAACTCTAGCCTGATTCCCAAATTTGTAAAATATATGTACAGTCTGGTCCGCACCAATTTGTGATCAGTGCCACACAGTTCCACGCATTACACCTGTCATGCGCACTTCACGCTGGCGGGTGGTGACAAAGTTGTTTGTAAGTAGTTGCGGGTTTACTAGATTTTTGTGAGGATTCGTTGCAGTTAGACTCAGGCTGACTGCCACCACCTATCCTGGAAGGCGCTAGACGGCCGTTTCGTGCTATTGGGACTTGCCAGTAGCGCGCATCCCGCCGAATCCTGCCGGATTTGAACCCACAACCTTACTCTTGCGAGCCAGCGAATTATGCCACTGAGCCATATATGACCACTCCGTGGATGCTTCCTAGTCGCTATATCGCTTGCAACCAATGCAAACCGAGTGTTCGTGGTCGTCAGGCCGTGAGTGACGCACGATAAGAGCAGCGGTCACTGTTCACATTGGATGTGCCGATACCATACGGATGGATTACGTTTGTCCACACCGCGGCATAGCACCCAACGCGCGCGTTGAAATCACCCAACAGAAATAGTCGGCCGCTCCCCGGCACAGACCGTACCACGGAGGATACCTTAGTGTAGGACTGATCCATTGTGTCATCAGGATAACACGTGGGGGGACCATACCTACTAACAAGTCGCAGTCGAAGTGTCTTCAATCATGGGCTAATGTAAGTCGGCTCTGCCACCAGCCGGCCATTTAGGCGGTCGAATACTGTAAATCTGGCCCCATGTTCACATGGTATTGTGGTGGCGTTTCACACCCAGTAGCACGTGTACCCAGCACCAGTCTCATGCAGCCTGCCTTGCTCAGCGAGTCCAGTCACGCTGAGTGCGGCAATGTCGATTCCGTAGCGCGCGAGTTCCATCGCAACCAGTGTGTATGTCGTTCGGGTCACTCACTCGTGTGCTTGTCGAGTAGTGTGCTTACGTTCCAGCACACGGCGTTGAGCGCTGTGTGCGGAGAGATACGATTGGGTTGATGGGCACTCGAATGCAGCTATATTAGCACCCGTGTGATTGAAGATGAGGTTACGAACCGTATAGCAAAAGCTCGAGGTGCTTTTGCCAATCTCCGCCACCTGTGGCGCAGACGCGACATTACTCTCGTCCTGAAGGGCAGAGTTTACAACGCAGCCGTCCGTTCAACTCTCCTATATGGATGTGAAACTTGGCCCATCAGGTCGACAGACATAAAGAGGCTCGTCATATTCGATCATCACTGCCTTCGCAGCTTAGCTCATGTCTGGTGGGAGCACCGTGTGAGCAATGGGCGTGTTCGACGTCGTGTATTTGGTGCAGGAAGAGCGAGTGAACCGCTCAGCACCATTATATCACGCATCAGGCTCCGATGGCTGGGCCACGTGCTGCGCATGTCAGCACACCGACTCCCGCGACGTGCATTGTTTGCGCGTTGTGGGTGCGGTTGGAAGAGGAGAAGGGGAGACCAAGTGATGACTTGGTCGAGAGAAATGAAAACCCTCAATTCGAAGTTGGCGTCGGTTGGTGCATCCCGATTGTCTGGCTGGGGTCCTAAGGATGGTGAACACGTTTGGTTGGATACACTCGCTGATATGGCTTGGAGCCGACCTCAGTGGCGTTTGTGTTGTGAGTTCCTTTGTTCATCCCCCTCCTGCTTAGCATCCCCATCCAATCATGATCTCACTTGTTAGGCATAATGTGACTCTCTTTTACGGCAGCCAGCTGTTAGCTCTCCGGAGTAATGTCCATCCGTTACTGAGGACTCAGCGGGCGTGCTATCGTTTGTTTTCCTTTTCTTATCTTTTGTATTGCGACGCAATAGCTGAGGTGTTTTCCACCTGCAGCTAACGTGTAATGATGATGATGATGATGGGCACTCGTATGGGTAGTGACGACCTAGATTGGAGGAAGTAGTGGCTTAGGTGAAACGGGGATGGGGAGGATATGTGCACGGAAGAAAGGAGGGAAGCGTCAGCGGCAACATGTTTCCTATTTTGCACCCCGCTGTATGCAGCAGATAAGGCGATCCTTTTCCTCAGACCACTGCGCGATGACCGATGCAGCATGGAATTGTTATTATTGGCCCAATGGCCTAGTTCATAGTTGGGTTTGGGCGCTAGGATACTGCCATGGCTCCCACGCTTGAAAGGAGAACGACTCGGGTCCTCAACCAAAGCCTTCGACGAAGTATACACCCGAAAGGCAACGAGCTGTGCGCCATCATTGAGTGAACGGACAAGCGGAATTGTGTGTGTGTCCTGGATCTTAGTTAGAGGAAGGGTGTAACCCAATTCCTATCCAGCGGTCGTCATGAAGAGGCGCTCAGGACTAGAGCCCAGTGTACATTAGCAGCAGCGCGTCGACGATCTGTCGGATCTAGTCACCACAAGCCTCAGCCAACTATGAGCTCTCCCGCTTATATACATATACATTATATATATATATATATATATATATATATATATATATATATATATATATATATATATATATATATATATATATATATATATATATAGCATATTTGCCACGTAAATACACATACTTGCCGTCTCCCCTATTTTGGGGATTTTGTTTTATGAAATCATTTCTCTTATCTTCATTTTTCATTTTACCCCGCCTTCAGGTTATCGAATGTGGTTCGAAAGTTAAAGATCTCTCAGTCAACGATATGGTTATCCCTGTAATACCTGCTTCTGGCACATGGCAGACGCACACTTCCGGAAAGTCTACCGACTTTTTTCGCTTACCATCTTCTCTGCCACCTGCTCATGCCGCAGTGTGTCGAGTGAATCCCGCCACCGCCTTACTCATGCTAACTGACTTCGTCAAACTTCGCCCCAATGATGTGATGATTCAGAATGGGGCCACCAGTGCGGTTGGCATTTACGGAATACAAATGGCCAAACATTTGGGCGTGAAAACAAGTATGCCTGTGTGTTTGTTCTGACATGCTTTTTGTTATGCAGTCAACCTGTTTCGTCCGAGGAGTTCCCCTGAAGCGACAGAAGCCACGCGTCAGGTGTTGCTGGACTACGGAGCCACTTGGGCCCTGACAGAAGCCGAGTTTGCCGATTCCACCAATCCGATGACGAAAGACGCCAAATCGGCCGGACAAGTACAACTTGGACTGAACTGCTTGGGCGGCCGACCTACCTTGACAATCATGAAGGTATTGGCCGATGGCGGAACCTTGGTTTCCTATGGTGCAATGACTCGATCCCCCATGCCTATTCCTGTTTTTCCCCTCATCTTTCATGACATTCGTCTCAGAGGATTTTGGGTGACGGGGTGGTTGCAGCGCGCCAGCTCTGATGAGACCACTCGTCTGTTCACGCAGATTGCCGAGTGGTTCTCACAAGGCATTCTTCGGCCTTCCCCTTTCTTGGAAGTTCCCTTTAGTGATTGGAAGAAGGCCATCTCCCTCACTGCCTTCAGTGACTCTGGTCCAAGTGGGATAACGAAAAAGATTATTTTAAACATGGAGTAAATAATATCCACTAGTTCTTAATTCCTATTCCTCATCTTCACCTCGACTTTTTGTAATATCCATCTTTAATACATCCATCTGTACATTTAAAATCTGAAGCAATAAAACAGCTGAAGTAAATGTCCCGTTTTTCTTAAACGATCAGCAGTGAACTTCACTGGAATGTTTGGTTTTCCATCTGGAGCAATTGTCACCAACCATGCTGTCACGGTGACCACTTGAAAACACTAAACAAAAGGCGAACTCTTCCGTCACCACTCACCTCATTGTTCTCTAGTTGTTCGCAAATGATTTTTTTCACTTGTCTGTGAGTGTCAATTGTTATTGCACCAATAACCTTGATCTGCTTTTGCTGGCATTTTTAAAGTACTGAATTAATTTAATATTTATTTTTTGCAATTAAAATTTCAGAAAATACCAACCTTTGTTATTTTAAATCATTTTTCCACTCCAAATATGTCCTTATTAACTCAGTGCTTAAACCACACTTTAGAAAGTTTCTTTAAAATGAACACCGGCAGTATGTGGGTTAAGAGAGCGTGAGTAGCAGGATTTTTACCGAATCCTGTGTAATTGCAGGAATCACCGACCATAGTCATGTGGTTTACCCCTGTCCGCAAAGCGCCCTTAACTAGCCTTAATATTGGCCTCAATGTGGTTCACCAATTGCACACACCTGGTTTCAGTTTCTTCCTAATCCAATTAGTCCGATAGTCGTCTCAGTTTAACACTAATATCAGAAGTATACAAATATGCGAACAAAAGGATCTGTTCTCATTTGCTCCCAACAGCACACACGCTTCTTGTCACTAGACGTTTAATTGCTGGCATCTTCTATGAACCAGGACCAGTCAATACAACTCTTCGCTCTGCCTATAGCTCGATAACCATACTCACTTCTCGAAGTTCTCCATACTTTGATGCAAGTATGCTCGTCATTTATGTCGAACTTAGTAGACATTGACGCGATCATATAGTCTACTCTGATACCATTGTATGTCGAAAATCAGTCTTCATCCCTGTTCCCGAGATTGTTGGATGTGTGCCCTCTCAATCGATGTCTACTCGGTTGCATATGAATGCCAAAGTTACAAGCCACTGGTATATTTGGCATCATTAAAGTACTTGACTTGAAACTAACAGTTTTATGAGATTATCTCGTTGGTCGATACACGCTGCGAACAGTTGATTTCACCTGGTGTTTTCTCACACTGACGTGTTTTCCTGATCGCTCCTCAGCTGCGCCCATCAAATGGCTCTGTCTAGATACGTGCATCCTCTAATAACCAAGACCTACTAGGCTATCTTTATTTCATCATCTGGCATTGGCTAGTCTTGAGAACGCCTTCCATTTTGTACCAAGACAGTCTGCATGGGAGACTATTACTGCTGACTTCAAAATACCATAGGTGTCGTTGGCGTCACTCTCTGGCCCTCAGAATCACATAGCCTTTTTGTCACGTGTCTGTATGACAGGGAAGACACAAGTTACCTCTGACACTCGTTCGACTACAGCCTGGATCTGAAATTTACTCGTAAACTTTCACGCGTTAGTGTATCTGTTCTGGACAAATTCCCTGACAGTGGTCATAATATTCTTAAATTCAGTATACATTTCTCCCGGAGCCAGATAACTTCCACGCTGTACTGACTGGACTGTTGCTTCGGTCTCGCGGCTGGGATATTTTTTCTTGACAAATACTGTCGAAAACTATGAACCAACCTTTCTAATACTTTTCATAAAATGTATAGACATATTCGCAGCTTTTAGGCAAAAGCGCATCCCAGCGAGCAATGCCACCAACAATCATTAGTAATATGTCACAAGCCACGCGAAATTAAAGCTACCTCCAACTCGACTAGCGACTTCTCTATCATGATACGTATCAATAGCCTTTGCAATAAATTCGCTTTAGAAAACAACTTCCAACATATAGACTAAGATCAAATGGCAGTTTTTAATTGCCGCAAGATATCTGCGTTTGCGCAACTGCCATAATCAAGAAATCCCAGGCTCACTGACCCGAATCTTTAGGTCTGTTCGACACAATGAAATGAGCGCCGCTAATCTACTCTCCATATGTGAAGCGTTCAGTGAATATTTCGCTCCATCTCATGTCAGTTTGACGAATGGAACGGACTGTACACTTTCGGAGTCCGACCTTCTACTCGAGAGGTTCAGACGGTGTCACCCAACAGTACTCACGCATGGCTGGGTAAACACTCCCTTCTTATTCTTAGTTCAGTCTTTCTCCGAACGGTGCCCAATTTCCGACCCAGCGGAAGGATTCTCTTATTAACCCGCGATACAAAAGCGGTGCTCGAGGCGAAGTACGAAGATACAGCCCCACCAATTGCACTTCCAGAGTGTTGGAAAATATAGTCACTGGTTGGGTTTCTTCAGATACGTACGCCATTAAGTGACCAACAACACGGATTTATTGGTACTCGCTCACGTAACTTCTACTTAGCTTTTTTGAATGCATCACTTCTGCTGAAACTATGGTATTGGTTATCTTCCTTGATGTACACAAGACTTTCGACAGTATACCTTATAACCAGCTCTTGTTAAGTCTCAAAGCATTCGAAATACGCGAGCCGCTACTGGCTTGGTTTGCCTCCTTCTTGGGGGAGCCTACACAAACTGTCTTGCTAGATGATATTCAGTCAAAACCATGGGCAATAATTAGCAGAGTTTTGCAAGGTCCCACTTTTTTCTCAATTTATCTAAGGTGTATTTCATGGAGCCCAATATGGGAGACCATTTCCCTTTACTGAAGATATGAAGGGTGTCTACGCCTCCCCATCTCAACATCTGCAGACAACGATGAAATCCATGCAAACCAACCTCACTTCCTTTGATTTCTGGTCTAATGAATGGCTAATTGAATTCTCTCCACTCACGAGTCTCGGGTCCGCTGTCATAGTTGTGACATTCCGTCAAATAGTTAAATTATAAATGGGGAGCCAGTTCATACCATTCAGGTCGTTTGTGACCTGAAAACAAGGTCTACTAATCTGCCAAACTTGTCAACTGCTGCTCTACAATAGCTATCAAAGGGAAACCTTGTCTCATGCCTAATCAACAACTCAATGGTCTTACCCAAAGCCAAACTAGCTTTTTATTCTGTTTGTATTCCCCACTTTTTTGAGTATTATCCCATCATAACCATATGTGCATGTTATAGCGACGATAAGAAAACTCCACCATTCCCCCTTGTTTTGTTAGTTTGCCCCACTCATCACTATTCATCTCGCCCTCTTACGGTTCCCCACATACATTCTCTATTGCCTCACCTTTGTGATTAGCTCGTATTGACACTGAATCTTATGCTTATTAATTTTTCTGCCACTCTGTGTATTTCGGTCGCCCATGAGGCACCGTATCGATCCTTCGCCCTTGAACTGACCAACCTCTATTGATCAAATGTCAGCCTTTCTGCATGGCCTGTATATATGCCCTGATTTGAATTATTCGGTTGATTTGTACTCACGGACGTGGTGGCCGGCACGACTCGCGGCGAGTAACATTGTTTTGTGCCCGAATTGCCGTGCGTGTTCTCCGTACCGTTAGTGAGCGAAAGCAGTTGCGGGGCTCCAACACAACAGTGCAAGTGTGATCTGTTATCACTGGAGCGTTTTCATTTGTCAATTAGTAAAAATGTTATGTGTGAATCGTCGCCAGTAACATACCACTATATGTGCCATCTACTGCGCATCGAGGGCCTTGACTTTGAGGACCTGATATTCTCCTAACCTCTCTTACATGCTGGTTTCAGTGGATCGTCGTAGTTAAATATCTAACCTTAAGATACCGGCTCAGATATATTTCTCTATATTCTATATATTCGGAGACATCGTTTGATTTTTTGAATCTTACACAACCGGATCTTGAGAGTAGTTGTGGATGAGAGGGTTGACGTGTTCTCTGGGCTGGGCAGTTTTGTTGCAGATGTTTCATTGCCAAACTAGGCAACATCCTCAGTGCGGCTATTAGGGTCTGATTCGCAGATCCTTGTAAGTCACTGCCACTTGAAGCTAGCAGTGGCTTACGAAGCTCTGCTTATCAGACCCTCTTAGCCGCACTGAACATGTTGCCTAGCGTGGCAGTGAAACGTCTGCAACAAAGCTGTCCAGCCTGGAGAACACATCAACTCTCTCACAACCGGACATTTTTGTCCCATTCGATTTCCACCCTTAAACTTTTTTGAGTTAGTTCACGACTGCATTTTCTGATTCTCTGATAACGTGCGGGTGAATATATTGCATTCTCTACGTCATTAATTCGTCCTTGTTCATTTCGCCGCATTATGATAGGGGCTGGGGAGGAATCCCAACGAATTTGATGGGATGCCAGCCATCAAACCAACCTCTGTAGCGGGGAGGCAGGTTGATTGAAGGAAACCTTTTATTGATTCAAAACAACTAACTTTTGTCATGAATCCGGTCGTTCATTTTCTTAGCCAGTCATTAGGAAATCTGTGCACAGTGCGGACCACGCTGCAAATTTGCATTTCTACTCTGGGAGCTGCTGTAAACGTTTGTCTTTATTTTCTTTTAACAAGCTGTTCTTACATCTCGTGTTGCCCAGAAATAGCCTACATCCATACATCCATATCTGCTTCCTTGACAAGGTACAACACGATAACTCTGTGCTCAACCTTCTTTGCGTACATCACTCCTAGACAGTTGACTTCCACGTCATTTGGTGATTACGTGTTTCCGGCCATTTGCCGGATAACTGATTGACTAGGGGCTAAATGTCTTGGCAACGCACCTGGTTCCTAACGTGGTGCGACGGTTTGCGCCCCTTTCCTACCCATTGGTGTGACTTTCAGCAGTTTTTTTGATCCACCACTGACGGATTAGTCGGTGGTTAAGTCAGGTAAACTTGACTTCCTGGTTTTTTGGGGTTTGGGTCTAATACTGAAGTGGCAGAAAAATGTCTGACTACAGCATACACTGTGAGGAACTGGGATATTCCCGTCATCCTGAGCTCAGGCCCGATCGCTATCTTTCTTGGGTTTTGGCACTCACGAAGTCTACTTGCAACCAACACCGAACCATCAGGCTTCCAGCATCGATCTACGCGCTACTTGTGTGGATTTGCCTTGTTTGCT